GGTGCCCTCGGACACGGCGTGCTTGGCCAGCTCCCCGGGCAGCAGTAGGCGCACGGCCGTCTGGATCTCCCGGGACGTGATGGTCGAGCGCTTGTTGTAATGCGCCAGGCGCGACGCTTCGCCCGCGATGCGCTCGAAGATGTCGTTGACGAACGAGTTCATGATGCCCATGGCCTTGGACGAGATGCCGGTGTCCGGGTGGACCTGCTTCAGCACCTTGTACACGTACACCGAGTAGCTCTCCTTGCGGCTGCGCTTGCGCTTCTTGCCGTCCTTCTTCTGCGCCTTGGTCACCGCCTTCTTGGAGCCCTTTTTCGGAGCCGGAGCGGACTTGGTCGGTTCAGGCATTGCAGCGCGGTAAGTTACAACAACGCTAACACCTGGAGAAATAATCACCCACCACAAGGCCACATTTATTTATAGATGCGGTATTCAAATAAGGCTAATAAGATTTCGCTCATGATTGGATTAATGTTATTGTGGCGTCACAAATGAGAGTGTAAATGATACTTGCAGGTCTACCTTTTCATTGGTTGTTTCGTTTCTTTGCTTTACCCAATCAGAAGGCGTAGACTAGACTACCCATAGCTAGTAGAAATAGACTTTAACATATCGAGCTGTTTCTGAAATGAAGGCAAGCAGGCAAAACTGAATTGCTTGCGAGTTTTGTTTATACCCGGTGGCAACTTTGTTAGCTACGAGTTATTTCCTGCATTGATTCTGGCTACCGGCACATAGGGGCCATGTTTATGTCCAGCTGAGGCGGGTAGTCAAGGCTGTGGTTGTAAACGCTTTGTCTGGCTTGCAGGTGCTAACCATTCGGAACCAACACCTTCGCCGTGCCAAGTTAGTAACCCTCTCAAAGCACTGCTTAATCTAATCTAAAGTCCTAGTAACTTTTGAGTGAAGTTTAAATTTTAAATTTTTTCTGCTACAGGTAAAGTTACATTTGGGTAACTCATCTAACAGACAGTATAGTGACGGAAAAGCCGGAAACGAGGACACGTTTGCCCTCTACACTTTTCTGTTAAGGCGACATGGGTTAACTACCGACTCCGTATCCTTTTTCTCAGGGCTCCGGAGGCCGAAACAAGGTATAATGCTCAACCCCGTTTCCCCATACACCGACGCTGAGAACCGCTCTAGAAAGCGCCTGCATATTACAGGAGGCGCTGAGTTAAGCAGCACCTCGTATCCCAATCCCCGAAGGCCCGCCCATCACTGGCCGCCTCCTCCCGGCCACGCCCCCTTCCAGTGTGCAACAGCTCTTTTCCTGAGATCAGTGGGTGGCTCTGAAAAGAGCCTTTGGGTTGTGTCGAGCTTCGAAGCAGTTGGCCAAAGGAACTTCCTACTTCTTCTTGGCTGCCGCCTTCTTTGGCTTGGCTGCCTTGGGCTTGGCGGTCTTTGGTTTAGCCGCCTTGGGTTTCACCGCTTTAGCCTTCGCTGGGCTCTTGGGTGCTTTCTTAGGCTTGGCTGCTTTTGCCTTTTTCGGGCTCTTTGCTTTTTTGGCTCCTGCAGCCGCAGCAGGCTTCTTCGCCTTCTTTGGGGTCTTCTTGGCGCTCTTCTTGGGGGTGGCAGCCCCAGTCGCCTTCTTGGGCTTCTTAGCTCCTGCGGGCTTCTTGGGTTTGGCCGCGCCCGCCTTCTTGGCCTTGGGCTTGGCTTCACCAGTAGCTGCCTTCTTGTTGAGCTTGAAAGAGCCTGAGGCGCCAGTGCCCTTGGTCTGAACCAGGGTGCCCTTGCTCACCAGGCTCTTGAGACCCAACTTGATGCGGCTGTTGTTCTTTTCCACGTCGTAGCCAGCGGCCGCTAGCGCCTTCTTGAGCGCAGCCAAGGATACGCCACTGCGCTCCTTGGAAGCGGCGACAGCCTTGGTGATGAGCTCGGACACCGGGGGCCCAGACGCTTTACGCTTCGCTGCACCTGCAGACTTACGGGCCTTTTTCTTCACTGGCGTTTTCTCGGCAGGGGCCGGAGCAGCTGGTGCGGCGGGCGCAGTCTCGGACATGTTGAAGACAGGCGTGGGGAGAGCAATTCGAGCCGGAAGCAGAGGCACTGGCCGGGACTCGGGCCGCGGCGCTGCGCCCGCCCGTTTATATAGGGCGGAGCTGCGCCGTGATTGGTGCGCTGTCCAGCCCGCCTCGCTGGCAGCCTCAGAGTGTCCTCTCGGATCCCGAGTTGTGTTTGTTACACCTCAAAAAATGCCAAAAATATCAAAATTCTCTACACCGAATTGCCCGATTTTTCTCAGAAAATGATCCCTGAAGCCTCAGGCTTCACACAGGTCTCAAATTAGGAGGAAAGCACAAAACCTTATGCCAAAAACCAGCAATATTTCCCGCCGTGCTCGTCAAATTTCAACTCAGAGAAACAAAACTTTCTATTTTCTTCGTAAATTATAAACCGATCTTTAACTCTGGAGTTTTCTGACCCCTCAAGTATGATTCTCCAAGTGGTTAGGTTCTTATATGTCCAAGAACCATGTCACTGACATTAAGATTTTTATTACAAATCTGCGCTTAAGTGATGGAAGTAACACAGGCTCCTCGGAGAGTCCTGACTATTGAGCCGAGGGCATTTGAGTTCATCAAACTGGTTTAGTTTAATGCTAAACAGATTATTGACCATATGGGGTTAAATTTTGGACCCCTGGGACATCAATCTATGCAGCCATCGTTTTATTTCTGTCTACTGCATCAGGGTTTTTAAACAATTCCTTAGGATAATTCTTTTCCTTTCTGTTCCCAAGGGTTGGGGGCGGGGCTGTTGCTTCTCTTCCTCTGGACAACTGCTCCATGAGTTTAGATACTCTGAATTCAAGATATTTGGAAAAGGAGGGGGTCCAAAATAGTCAGGGCACACAGATGGAAAATGATTAATTTTCAAATAACATGAAGATGTCCATAAAGTCACTGGAAGTGGAGGCACACTATGAAGTATTTGTCTGCTGTCTTACTGAATTCTTCTGGCTTGTGCTTCAGGATCAAATAGTATTATACTTTCTAGAAATGAAATTCAAGTGTTGATCATAAGAAGGAACTAAATGAGTAATATAGAGTATAACATATCTATTTCCATTACTAGAGAAACCCAGACTCTCCTATCACTAAATAACAGATGAATGACTACTCCACATAGCAAATATGGCTTCAGTCTTGAAGACTATGGCCCTATGCTTCCCAGAGCTCCACAAAAAAAGAAAACAGTTACGTGTAGGATTGAATGAAAAGTTCAGATTTCTATCTTAGAAGCCGAGCTTTGGAGGACCATCCAAGTTAAGTTCTTGTCCTATGAAGTCATCCTTTGCAAGTTCTCTGAAAATAGTGGTTTTGTTTAGGTAGTACACATTGGCAATCAACAAAGAGTACATGTTGGCAATGAAAACTCAGCAAAGGAAATTATTCCTGGAAACTGGTCTGGATGGGATTCTCTTTTAAAACTGCAAGCCATTTGAAATAAAATACAATTTTAGCTGGTGCTATAAGGTGGTATGATACAATTCTGTGGGTGTGGCTGATTGTAACATAGCATTGGATATCACATTAAGTTTGGTTCCATTGCCTCAAATCTTCTCCATACACAACAGTCTCTACTATTGAAATAAAGGAGAATATATATCTTTGATACAACATTAATAAAATATTTCACAGTCTCATTTAAAATAATGCTGAATCTGGTATAAAAGAAATGTAAATTATCGTTTGTAAAGCCTTAATGTGTAAACATTTTTAAAGTAATTTTTGCATGCTAGTGAAAAATAAAATATACTCTTTGTATATATTAAAATAAAAAGAGAGGGGATAAGGTTCCAAAACAGACCAATTGATGGTTGCTAAGGAAACTGATTTTGTGGATACTTGATCCTAGAGTAGTGGAGTTATATTCATTTTCAATAACAAACAAAGCCACTCCCCTAAATAGTTGAAATTTTCAGAATACATTGAAGTTTCCTCTTAAATGCCTTGCTTTATTCTATGTATTCCATACTACTTCTGACTTGGCGCTATTTAGCTCTTTAAATTCTGTGTTCTTTTAACTCATGCTCATCTCCTACAGAGCATGGTGTTTTCTACAAATAAAACTATGACAGACTTAAAGAAAGCATTGAGGATCTGCCACTATTACATCAAGCATTTATTTGAAATAAGAGTAACAACAGAAGTTTCCATTTCTCTGATGATCTATCAGCTATATCAGAACTATTTAGGGTGTTCGTATGTGTTTGTTTATTTGTTTGTTTTAATGGAGATACTGCAATTTGAACCCAGGACCTTACACGTGCGCTCTACCATTGAGCTATATCCATCTCCCTATACATGGGTTTTAAATGTAGATTCCAAAGTCTTTCACCAGATGATTGTGAATGGATAACTTCAGGGAGTCTCAGAATCTGAATATTTAACAAGGTCCTCAGGTGTCTCTGATGCCAGCCAGTTCTGTGAACCACTGCCATTCTTACTTGGATCTGACCAACAGGTCAAAAGTATCTCCTGTCATGAGTGTTCCTGTGGATTTCTGAATTGCCTGCAAGACCTTCAAAAAGAAGTCAGTGCTGGATATGACCACAAGTTGGGAAGATGGGGGCAGCAACACTATAATCCTGACTTCCTTGGATTCACAACCAACGGGGCAGTAGAGTGGGCTGGAGAAGAAGAAAGAAGAGTAACTGAAAAGGATCCTCTGCTTTGTTGTTCTCCATCTATAGCAGATAGATTGGACCTTGGTTGCCTGTGAACCACCAGAATTCCCCAGTACAGATTCCCACTTCTTGTCACATTTTATCATTCTTAATAAAAATTACGTTTTCCATTTATTGGCTGCTGGACTGTGTGCTACCTGCATTCTTACTCAGCAAAAAGTAAGATAGAGATATACTCTTATCCTGCTAGATGGTATACCCATTTTATATACAAGGAAATGGATTTACATAGGTTAAGAAATTCTCCTGTGAAGACTATTGGTAAGATGTGCATTCAAGATTCCAGCTCACATCTGTCTGACTTCAAAGTACATGCTTTTAACGAACAGTTTTTCTGGTTGCAGTTCTGAATAATCATTAAAGGCTGTGAAATCAATTTTGTAGCACAAGGCCAAAATGCTGTGTGTTTTTTTTTAATGAACTAGAATAGAATATAAAATATCAGAGCCCAACCCATGTAGTTTCAATTATGGACACAGCTTTTTGACTGGGTGCTCGGTGCTTTGGTGTAAAATGTATTTTTTTTCAGCATAAACTCATATGGCCAGAGTGGGCAGAGTCTTCCTCATGCAATTTCTTGAACTTTTGTAGCCGTGATATATTCTCAAGTGTATTACTCTCTAATAAACTAAAAAAGTAATTTCCTATTATTGACTTTTTTAAGCCTCTAAGGAACCCTGAGTCATTAAAAATGGGGAGCCCTCTGTAACATTTCCATTTTGAACATGATAGCAACTGGGCTAAGAGGAACAATGTGATTTATAGAAAAGCTGAAAGGAAAGAGAAGCTTATGCTTGGTTCCTTTTACTCCCAAATTCTGGACTGTAACTGCTTGCTTCTGGATTTTTCTATTTTAGTAGGTTACCATGATTGGACTATTGAAGAGAGTTTGGGGAAGGGGTGCTTTTTTGCTTAGCCCCTCCCCAGCTTCCTCATAAGGGGCGTGTTGAATGAGCACAGTCATGGTGACACCATGAAGACCACCTGTAGATCTCTATCTGTTGGTACAGACTTTCTCCTAGTGAACTCTTTTAAGAGGCACTCTGTCTTGGTTTTTGATGTAGAGCATTTCTGGAAAGGTTTTCTTCTAAAGGGCTATTTATTATTTCAGAAATTGTGATTCGTTTTGTTTAATTCAATAATTAAAATGGGAGGGTCCATACCCAGGGTTATTCACTTATTGCAGCATCGTTTGGAACTGTAAAATATTGGAAGGAGCTTTAATATCCACATATAAAAGTGATTGAATCAACTAGGACACATCTGCACAATTGAGTAATATGCAGCTGCATTAATGAACGAGGAAGATCCCTATGAATGAAGAAGGAATGTATTCCAGGCTACATGGTTAAGTGAAAAAGCTAACTGCAAAAGAATATCTACTGTATGATACCCTCTGTAGCAAAATGAAAAGGAGCTAAGAAAACACATTTTTTGGCTTGTTTGTGCAAAAGATACACAGAAAGAATAAATTAAAAATGAATGAGATTGGTTATCTACAATAGGGGTGTGGGTTAGGAAGGAGTGGAAAGAAGAGGAAGATGAGAACAGAGTCTCAGGGATGAGAAGGGATTGACAGTTTTCTGAGTATGTCTTCTTGTGTAACTGTGACTTTTACAACTACAGTACTGTTTCATATAGCAGCAAAATAAACAAACTATTAAAAGCAATAGGTATGGGGAACTCAAAATAGAATTTAAGCACCTAACAAATGGACCAAACTGTATTTAATTAACAACACACTAACACTAAAGGGGTTGGGGAAGATAAAAATTAACTTAAGCAACTGCAGAAAACAGCATCTTGATTGGATAGTATAAGACCAAAGACAAAAGTAACTATATATAAAGGTTGTAATCTAATGAAAGTGTTTCTCTTAGGAATTTGGGTTAACCCCAATTCTGAAACTATTTTTGTGTCTACTAGAATTGAACAAAGAAGCAAATATGGTGTAGAAAATAAGATCCAGTGTTCTCACTAGTGAAAAAAGAAGTATTTGGCTAAAATAAACCTCGTACTGGATTAGAATCAGAAATATTAATATAAATGCATATTTTGAAATATATCTAGTTTTATAGATATAGAAACATATCTGTGTGTGCACATGAATTAACTTATTCATATACTGTCTTGCACTGTCAGCTGAGAGGGCCTATGAGCAGTGACACCCTAGAAGCAGTTAGCACACCTGGCAGACAATCTTTGGTTCTTAAGTATCGTTCTCCAATCAAAAGAACCAGGTCTCCTTGGAGAAGTGATAGACAACAAGGCTGGAGAAGGGAAAATACAGGGTGGGCCTGGAACACCTTGTGGTGTCAGAAAGTAAGATGTTTAAAACAGAATGAAAATTTGTTGAAAACAAAACAAAATA